AAAAGTATTATTTTTTTTTTTATATTCAATTTATATGTGTTAAAAATATCATAATAAATAAAAATGAAACAGTATATATTAAATGTTATAATTTATATAAATTAATAAATTTTATTCAAATATATTCTTTTAATTAACGACTTATATAATCTAAATGAGCATGGAATTATATGTACTGGTAAAGAAAAATATATTTTTATGTAAATATGTAATATAAAGCAGAATTTTATAATGTTTGAAAAGTGTACAGTTAATAAGCACTTATATACACATTTATAATATAGTTATATATACGTATATATAATTTTATAAAAAAAAGACTTGTATTTAATTATAAATAAAAAAATATAAACTCATATAATCAATAATTATACTATAAAATTTTCATATACATGTATTTATTTTATTATATAAAATATATATATATATACATGCTTATAAGAAGAATGCAAATATTATTTACCTTTGAAAGGTTTATGCTTAAGCATTATATACTATAACCTCAATTCTTTTTCTTAGTAATTTTTTAATTACAGATTATAAATTAATAAATATTTGTTATATTTCCTTAGAGTAAATGATACAAATTTTACATTTCCATATATTTGATTCAACATATTACCTTGGAATGATATATCATTATAATGAACATTATGATAATATATGATATATAATAGATTTTAACATGATATACATATTTATTTGCATTAAATCCAGTTTATTTACTATATGTACACATTATATGTATACATAAATAATATTATTAGCATAAATACATATAATATAAGGGTAAACAATTATATATATTAAATGTATGAAAATTTTATAATTAATATATTTCAATACTTATCCATTTATGTAATGAAACTAATAAAATGATATTTAATTAATATAAAACAATAATTATAATATATAATAAATTTATTTATTTCATTTATAAGTGTATATTAAAGGAAGTACTTAGCAATATCATATGACATCTATAATTTCTCATTTATTGTAAATTATTTTAGTTATAATTTATTTTACAAAATATGGAAGAGTATACTATTCTAAGAAGAAATAAAATATTATTTAAAATTTACATTCTATATTATTATTAGTGTGTAGCAGGTATAAGAAAGCTTTTATTTGAAATTTCGATTACTATATATCGAATAAATTTTTAATTTTTCACATATGTAATTTTTCATGAATAGTTCATTAATTAGGATTGATATTATGTATTAATATTCTAAAAAATAGATAATACGATAACTAATATTACCTTAGTTTAAATTTTGCTTAATATTTAAGAAAATATATTTATTTTGAATCTGTAACTTACTTGGTATAGAATATGATAAAAAAATCATAAATAATTACTAAGTTAAATCTGTAATTAGGTAAAGTTTATATTAATATTGAATTATATAATTCCTGATCTTTCATTATTTTAGGATATGATGTAAATACTATTTATTTGCAGCAATAATTAGGTGGTAAATAAATCGTTCTCTTCCAGTTATATTAATATTAGACTTTATAATATTATTATATAGGAAAAATAATTTTTTCCCATTATAATAAAATATAACTTTGTGAATTTATTATAAAATCAAATATTACAACGATACAAATTAATTTATTATTGTATCATCAATATAATAAATAAGAGCTAATAATACATATATTATATACGTCTGTTTCTCAATAAATAAATAATACAGGACATATGATACATATGAAGGAGAAATTATTATTTATAATTTTATTTTGTTTTAATATTCTACACTCGAAAAAGGCGTATTAATGATAAATAAATATATATATATATATATAATATCAGTAATGAATATATACACAATCAATAATAAAAATGAAATTACCATTATTATAATGATTATAATTAAAGTATGAGACGATATATTATGTGTGTAAAAATAAGGTAATATTGTAAAATGATTTATAACACTATATAATTTTTTTATGCATTAATTTCTAAAATCATCTAATGTGTTACAAATATCATGTTTCTTATTAATTTATAGAAAAACTTACATAATATATTTTAATCATTTATTGGCACAGTTAAATTTGTATTTCCCAGAGCATATATTATGGTCACCTGAAATATTATGTATCAAGAATATGTCATGTAATTCTTTGAATTTCCTTATTTAAACCTCGATAAAAATAATTCCAATATAATCGTTGCAAACGGACTTTCAACAGAATTATTATGCACCTCAGTAAAAACATAGATAAATATTTTGAAATATATACTATAAACCATTACTTTAATATTATTATATGAGCATTAATATAAGTTTATGCAATTAGGTTATATAATTTTTAATATAAATCGTAGCATTGCATGTGATAAATATACATTACATTCATTAGAATTTTAGGTACGTAATAATTCACAATCTTCGAAAATACATAACTTTATATTAAAAATTGAAAAATTAATTTAGTGTCAAAATGATATTTTATATATTTTTAAATAAATTACACAATTATATTGAATGTAAACACATAATAAAGAAGAAAAATAATAGCATGTCATATATCGCTATATTGTTGAATAAATGTTGATAAAATATATATGAATTCAAATATACATATATTATAATGCTTTAAAGTATATTAATATATTGCAGATGTATTTCTATCTTAAGCATTTTGGGGATATATTTTAAAAAGATGTAAATATATGTAATAAAAAGTATAAAAATTGTAATATATAAAATTCAAAAGTATATCATTTAAAATATTGACATAAGGTATAGAGTTTTTTCCCTATTATTATACTAAGTCTAATAACATTGTAAGTTTTTTATAAACAATATATATCGTTATTTTTCCTATATAACATAAAATATAATATTCAATATTCGTGACATGCATTATATTTTTTTAGTATAATAAAAAAAAAAAAAAGGCATTTATGAATTAATTATAAAAAGAAATATAATAATAAAAAAAAACATATATACATAATAATACTATATAGCCAAATTATATAATATTATATTGGATGTTATAAAATATCTTCAAAATACCTTTTTGAACATTATACATTATTTGAATTGCAAATAATTAAATACAATAATCATAACGTGCTTAAAATAGTAAATTAATGAAGAATAAAATTCTAATATATATAATAATTATTATAAATATTAATTTTATAATTAGATAATCATTATAAAAAAATACTATAAAAATAAATTATGGACATACATGATATATATATAATAAAAAATAAATAATATTTTCAATAAAAATAATAGTATAAAATATAAAAATATACTAGAATACACAAAAAATTGAAAATAATATGTATAATAATAGTATATAACTTATAATAAATAGTAGGATAATTATTAAAGAAATATAAGTATTATGTAAAACTATTATACCTATATGACACACTCTAAAATGTACAATTGCCTCATTACAAAAAAATAGGAAAACTTCAATATCTAACAGAAAATCTTGAGTCCTTAAGCTTATCTTTGAAACATCAAAATTTTTTTGTTTATACTCAATTTATGTTACTATATTTTTATGTTCTGATAAAAAAATAAGGTCATTATATTTAAAGAAACTATACATTTCCTAATAACCCTCTGAGATATATGCTAAACTATATTTATTATCAGTTGATTCATTATATATTCCTTCAAGTGTAGCAAATGAGTTTACCATATTCTCATTTTGTTTATTCTTCATCTTCATTATATTCCCTTCTTTATGTTTTAAAAATGGTATGTGATCTCTGTCTATTAAAAAAAAATCATATATTTAAGAATATGTCATTTGTTTAATATAAGAATTTCAAAATTGTGCATATTATACATTGTGATAATATATATTTGATAAGCAAAACTTATTTTAACCTTATAACCTATGATTATAATTATCATTATTGCAAATATTGAAACAAGTAATGTTGTGATTATTTCTTTACTTATGGCATTATCCTCCTCTCTTACTATCATTTCCTGATCTCCTATATCTATAATTAATTGTAATTCGTTTCCCATAACTTCTAATGGTTTTGCGTCCGGTATATACTGAGATATTTGATTATCTGTATTATCTCCTTGGGTTTCCATTTCCTGGATAATTTCATCATAATCTTGCTTTATCCTTTGAAAAATACGAGGGAAAACATTACTTCTGTTTTTAAAAAATTGTAAAACACTCTGAATATTACTTAAATACGTATCCTTATATTTTTTTGCATATTCTGTTTTATTTTTTAAATGAAAAAGATAATAAAATGCAATATCAATATATCCCATCATCCTGAACGAATTTTTATCCTTAAAACAAAATTCACTCTGTACATATTTATCCGCACAAATATCAAAAGCATCCTTATAATCAGTTTCAAAGTTCACATGTTTTCTCATTTCTTTATAACAAGACATTATTGTTTTACAATTAGTCTACATGAATTCATAAGAAGTTTCACTTTGTAAAAGAAATAATTACAACTTCAATTAACATAAGTTTCTTGATTATCCTTTTCAGTAATACTTTTTTTGATATAATCTAAATAGACTACAATATCTCGGAAACCTAAATCAAATATACTTATTTCATTCTCACTTGTCTTCATAGGCATTATAGAATTTCGTATTTCTTCACATATTTCAGTTAATCTTTGACGCAAACTATTCGTATCGCCATTTGTAGTAACTAAATTATAATCATCAGCATATCTAGGAAATACACCTTCAAGAAATGACTGAAATAAGAATCATTATATTTATAAAATAATTAAATTATATTTATATAAATATATTTTTTTATTAGATTCTAGAAATAGCGTAATTTTAATAAAAATAAGAACATGCATATGGCGACATATATTTTCGTCCTGACATTATATGTATATGAATTAATAAAAAAAATGTTTTAATAATTATATGTTATAAAATACTACGTTAAAAATATAAGAATATTTACAAAATAATAATATATATTATATTTCTTATAAATATAAATTTATAAGCAAATATTGATGTTCATATTTGTTTTCAATTATTAATGTATTTAATGTCCCTATCATGCTTATTATTGCATAGTGCAATTATTCTTTTTTGTAAATGTACAAAAGACAAATTATATATGTATATTGTTGAAATTTAATATGAATACTAAATAACAATAAATATATATTTATATTATAATATATGAAACACAACTATAATAAAATAATCATATAGTATAATAAATTAAATGAAATATCATTATAGGTTTCAGGTTGTTTAGATAATTTTTAGTAAATATATATAAGTATTCATGTAAAAACACTTAATATATATATTATTGCTACATATAAATTGAAACTTCATGAGATATATTATTCATTATAATATTGCATATGTACATTAATAGCATTACCACAATGATATATATTATTTTATAATGTAAAATATTTAATATTATTATAAGACATATTGTAAGTTAATAAAATATATATATAAGGAAAATTCGATAAATAAAATAAACGATTGTTCATAATATTTGTGTTCACTTTAATACACTTAATGTTTTTTCTATTATATGGGCAAACATTATAAATAAGAACAAAAGTAATAATACAACATTTATAATGATTATTTATAGTATTGGAAGTTATGATTTTTATTATTTTACAATAATTAATAAAATTATATTTTTTATGATTTTTATTAATGCTATTTTTAATAGTGCCTAGCAATTATATAGAAGCATTTCATTTTTTTTATATTCCTCTGTAAATATATTATATTTAATATTAATTATTATTTATATTGTATGCTAACTTGTACCATATTTTTAGTAATTATTAACTTGTAGTGTTATATAAATTATTTGTATAATTAAAATTTTAATTTTTTATAAAATAAATAATATAACATATTTTTTTTACTTTTACGTTTGGGATTATTAATGAATTAACTACATTTTATATGTTTTCTTATTAAACTAATTTTTCTTTCTTATTATTTTTTTTAGAAATCAATATTGCCAATGTCTCAGGTGTAATATTTAGAATACGAAATAAAATACTACATTAATATTCAATATTATTTATAAATGATATAGGTAGTTAAAATGTAATTTTATAATAAAATTATTAACACAAGAAATTATTTTATAATTTATATAACTTGCTCAATAAAATTGAAAACTCATTATATAAGTAAATATGATATAAATTGTTCGCACTATAATTTATAATGGAAAATACCATACATATATTATTTTTTTAGTGAATTATTTCATTATATGTAATTTATAAAACGAGAAATGTAGTTTGAGCACATGTCAATTATGGTATTACGCAAATTCTATAAAAACATTTATTTGTTATTAGCTTTTTAGAATAATCCATTTAATACATAATATTAACTAAGAGAGTTATATATACCTCTTTCACATGAGCCATAATACTAATACAAAATTATCCAATCTAAAAAAAAATATTGCATTATATACTTAATTAGTGTAATAATTAACAATATATTTAACATGTATAAATTGTATTTCTAATGAAGAATTAAATGTAATATTTATAAAAGAATATTAATATATTATATAAGTAAATACACATATATGCTCATTATCCTTAATAATTAAATTATAATGAGATCCTAGCTAAATATTATTTTTATGATAAATTATAAATAATATTGTCCTCTTTACTGATAAAGTTCTTATAAATAAAAAAATAGAATGATATATTAATTTTTGCAATTATATCATCTATGATTTTAATATTATATCAATAATATTAAATTATGATGTATAAAAAAATATATTAGCTATATATTGAATTTTCATAATTTTTGATATAATTCAATGTTAGACATTTTATGTAATATAATTATTAAGACATATTTAATTATATTCAAATTTTTGTGCATACAATGTTGCGGTTAATATAATATAGGATAATAAAGTAATAGAATTTTCTTATACTTTTAAATGAGACTTCAAATTAACAAAAATATTATTTATTAATTATACGATGAAATGTTCCTTAAAGGGCACAAATTATATATATATTTATTTTATAACATTACTTCTATATCAAAAAGCAGAACTGTGATAAAATATTATGGAAAACTAATATTTATATAATTAACGGTGCAATGATATTTAATATATTACTTATGTAATATTCTAATTAATATAATATGATTTATAATAAATATAGAATGAATTCTCATAATAATAACAAAATATCTGTAATAATAAACATAGAATTAATATCGCATTTATATATTTAAAATGTAATAAATATAATTACAGTTATTATTTTGATATACTATTGCCTAAAATATTTTTCATTGTTCAACATTGTTTAAATTAGAATTATTTTTCTTTTA